CCCGCCCTGAGTGAGCCGCACACAATCTGCCATGTTTATCTTCACGCTAGAGCATTTAAAAGCAGCATTCAAGTAAGAAATGTCTTATTAAGGCTATAGACCTTATTCAGTCCAGAGCAGTATGTGATTCTCTGCTTTCATTTTATTCTTTGGGTCATATTAATAGCATAGGCAGCAGCAGTATAGGTACAGTATATTATGCTGATGTCACTTAATACACAGATCTAATAAATGCGATTTCTTTTCCAGATGTTTACTTCACAACCATAACCAACTGTGTTTTTGTAGCTTAAGCGTGTTTTAAACATAAACTCGTGTGTGAAAGAGAACTTAGTACTCATGCCGTGTGCAGCCACTTTATATACGCGTGCTACGGATGTTTGTGCTCAAAAAACCGTCTATCAGAATTTTAAACTAACATGGATTTAAAACGCGTGATTTCAGCGCGATAGACATTATAATCAAAACCAAACAGATGTTTTTTTAGCAGTTATCAGCTGTAATGGCACAGCTCTATTCTGGAAGAGGGGGCGGGGAGCAGCAGCTCATTTGCATTTAAAGAGACAGGACCGAAAAACAGTGTGTTTCTGCTTCCACTCAAAATAGGCATTTTCTAAATGATATAATAAATTATCTGTGGGGTATTTTGAGCTGAAACTTCACAGACACATTCTGGGGACACCAGAGACTTATATTACATATTGTAAAAAGGGGCATAATATGTCTCCTTTAAGGATTATCAAAATAATGTAACATGACTTTTGAAAGTTTTTGCTCGGCTTGTGATGCCAGTTTGGCTGAACCTCCAGGTGACCCGAGCAGGAGAGTTTGTGTTTCCTCTGGATTCGCCGCACAAGAAGCCTTATGAAGTGCTGGTGCTCGGCAGGCATCGATCTGGCTCTGACCGCGCAGCCAGGTAATGTGTGTCCCGTTGGCGTCTTCTTTCTCTCATCTCTTTATGTTGTAAAGCTCAGTGTGTGTTGCAGGTCTTCAGCAGTGGAGGAGCTTCCAGAGCAGCGGCTCCTAATCAGCGTCCCATCAGTCCTGCACTCCCATAAGCCTTCATTATCAGGTGCACACACTTAAACATGCCATACACAACTACTTTTATTTTCTTTGTGTACGTGATTTATTTTTTTGTTTGTATGTTTTTTGTTTTGTTCATTTTTGTTTATATGTGACCCTGGAGCACAAAAGCAGTCTTATGTCGCTGGGGTATATTTGTAGCAATAGCCAAAAATACATTGTATGGGTCAAAATTACTGATGTTTCTTTTATGCCACAAATCATTAGGATATTAAGTAAAGATCATGTTCCATGAAGATATTTTGTAAATTTCCTACCGTAAATATATCAAAACCTAATTTTTGATTA